GTGTGCTAATAGACCAAAAGATTGACGACAGTGAACACACATTTTAGTTGTAGCCTTTGATAATTACTCAAAAACATTACTGGCTTCCCAGATCAATCACAGTTCATATGAAACATCCCAGTGGGTCATCTCGTTGGCAGAGCTGTATAGTTCTGTGTTTTCCTCCTCAGGCAGCGCATGTCTGTTTCTGCCCTGTTGACCAGTGTAGCGAGAGGAACGTATTCGCTCTTTGCCGTTGCATCTCGCCGAAACTACCCGCCTCGATTTGCTGCCTGGTGCCTCAGAAAGAGGAGGTCGACGAGGGGAAAGTACAGATTACTCCACCAGGTAATACACTGCTGCGGTTCAGCAGGAGTTTTATGGGTTTAATTATTTCAAAGAGTCCCAAACTAACAGGCCAACAACCACTAGTTTGTTTTTTAATTTCTACCACTGTGTTTTGCTTTTCTAGCATTTACAAAAAGCTGTTTAGTTAACAATGAGATAGGCAACTGTTTATCATCTAGGTCAGTGTAGGTATGAAGCTTTATGACATCGTGTCATTTCTGTTGCCTGTGTCAGGTTTCAATGTCATCTACCTGCCGTATGCTGACGACATACGCACTCTGGATCCCCCCGGTGCTCCGCGGCTTCACAAATTCAGGTGGACAAGATGAAAGAGATTGTCTCCAAGCTGCGCTTCAAGTACAGGTAGTTTCACGTGTTCGGCACGTAAAAGAGATCTTAGTTTAGAGGGTTTCTTAAAAACAGTTGAACTAGAGCGCTTTAATAAATTCTGTAATCCTTGCAAAACACTGGGGGACATAACATTTAACAAAATTTAACAAAAACTAGAGTAATTTATAGCACGACACTTGTGGTGACAGATAGCAAGTGGGATCTCTGCTCATAAGAAAGTTATTCAATTGGTTTCTTTCTGTAACGTGTTTTACATTCTTTGTAATGTAATGCAGGAGTGACGCTTTGAGAATCCAGTCATCCAGCAGCATTACAGGAACCTAGAGGCACTGGCTCTGGATATGGTGGCTCCAGAGGACGTAGAGGACCTCATCAGTAAGATGCAGACAGAAAACAGATCCTGGTTCCTCTCATGGCTGCTACTACTTGCTGTTCTTCACCCTTTTTGTACCTGTCTGTCTCTCTTTTGTGTGTCTCAGTGCCAAAGATAGACCAGATTGATCGCCGTCTGGGTCCTTTAGTTGAGGAGTTTAAAGATCTGGTCTACCCTGCCAATTACAACCCTGAGAGCAAACCAGCTGCCAAACGCAAAACAGGTTAAAGCTGAGTTTAAAACAACAAATAAGCAAAGTGGCTTTTTACTGTATCTTTGTTGTTTTGGCTTGTTGTAACATAAGTTTGAATTGTTCTTCCCCCCACACAGTATCTGCAGGGATTTGATCGTGAACTGATCAGTACTGAGACTTCTAAATACATCACTGGCTGCTGTATTCATTTTGTGGTGGTACTACAGTAACGATCCAATATTCTTTTGACTGGATGTTTTCTCCATGCATGAACTTGCAGCTGATACCGGGGGCGGAGCTGAGAAGAAGCCTAAAGTTGAGGTGCCAGAAGACGAGCTGAGGGCCCACGTGCAGAACGGCACCTGGGAAAGCTGACCGTGCCCGTATTGAAGGAGGCCTGTAAGCAATTTGGAGTTAGGACCACTGGGACCAAGAAGCAGGAGCTGATAGATGCTCTGACAGCCCGGCTGGGCCCATGAGGAGTTAAATGTGCAATCCCTGTGCCTTCATGAGCTGGCAAACTTGTCCAGATCAGTGTCTCTGTCTAAAAATGTCTCAGGCGCTTGGCACAAATCAAGTTCTAAAAAGTTTGCAATCCATTTAAAAGCAGGTAATGGTTTTACATTTACTGTGGGCCTGTGAATCTTTGGGCAGACCGGGACACTGTGTTCAATGTTCAGTGAAAAGGTTAAACCTGTTGCTTTACCAGCAATGGTTCAGTGCAGCTCAGTGCAAATGTCTGCAAGTAGTGTGTCACTCCAACATTACATGAATAATGTTTGTATGTTTAAAAAAAAAACAAGTCTTTTCTTGTGATCAAGAAAACTCAAACTGGTTGATGTGGGTTATGAAAATGTCCTGTATACATTGGAATACAGTCACATACTCAAAACTATATTGTAAGACTTGTTAATAATCTTGATTTCCATTAATAAAGAATTTTACAACCCTGCATATGGTTGGTAGTTTTATTTTAATTACTGCATTAGTCAGCATACTGTACATTTTAAGCAGCATATCCAGTTCTTCTTGTAGCAAGAGAAAAGGTGTGCCCTTCCTAAGCAAGACTGCAGCATTATCTGCATACTTGGACCTTCTCACTGCATTGTTTTTCACACAGTACAATAAAGTAGGCACACTGTTGCTGAGGGCAGGCCGGCACAGGCAAAGGTTTCAGCAGCAGGAAGACAGGAACACATACAACTTTGACCTCATGTGAGTTGCATCAGGTTTTGACTGGAAGTAGATGGCATTCCTGTGGGAGGATTATTTGACAACACACGAGGTATTGGAGCTTTAGCAACACTTTGCGATTGTTATGGGTTTAAACAGACAAACCAGTTAATGTTATTTAAAGTTTTCTGTTTTGTTATCCTGTCTTGAAACCTTGCTACATGTTAACAACTGCTTGATTATGGAGCGATTATGGAGCTTTCCTAGGTCTGAACTAACTGACATGCTGTGAAAATGATACCTAGGCGTGTACTTTTGTTGTAATAAGAGATTTAATCGTGAAATTATTCGTGGTTTTAGGGAGTTGTTTGTATAATGACATCTACTTTGCAAAACATTTGTCAAACCTGTCTGTTGTAACGTTTAGGGCTTTTATATTGACATTTCTGAGCGGAAGTGGTCTCGAATTTTCGCAACCTTGACAGTAGGTGAAGTTCCGTCAACTGCAGCGAAATGGAGTGTCAATGTGAGAAGGAGGATGCCATTACAGGTAAGATGGAATTATAAAAACTCATCAAATATACATTTAAAGACATAAAAATGTATTCACTACTTTATCGGTATTGTATTTTTGTCATTTTAACTTCCATAGTATGACAATACAATTACAATTTTGACTTAATGAGATGTTAATTACTGGCTTAGTGGGTTTTATATTATAATATTGTGTCTTCATGGTAACAAAAAACATGTCATTAGATATGTAAAATGTTCAGTCTGGACTGAGGCGTCCATAGTCTACAACGTGAATTAGCGGCAACATCTTTTCAACTTCCCGGTTAGTCTTTCAAATAAAAATCAGAACTCAACTTTCCCATTCTGACAATTTGAGAAAATTAACAAAGGATGAAAACACTTTATGTTATATATTATATAATTATATATTATACTATTAACCAAAGTATTTTATGCATTTTTATGTAATAAATGATTTGAAACACATTTCTAAGCAGTAGCTTTGTTAACTGCCACATTTAAAACTGTGCTAGAGTTTTCTGCAATGTAAAAACAATGGAATGAAAGAGACTGTGATGATTAATAAGAGAGTTTTACTTTGAATGTAAATGTTGAAATGTCTACACACATACACATTACACACACACACACATACACATAACATACACACACACACACACACACACACACACACACACATTCCTGTACGTGCCTCATAGTGAGGTCCAGGTTAATTAACTGCTGGAGTGAGGACCACCCTTTCTACTATACTTAGAGACAAATGCATGATAGATTCCAACACTGGGTGGCACCTTGATGCCAGTTTCCACCTCAGTTCCTTAAAAAACATGAAGGAAATTTTTAATTTTTTTAACCCAGTTTACCACTGGAGTGGGGACCTTTTCAAGGGGGCGCTATTGAGTTCGTTTCAGAATGGACTAGTTTAACTACCTTCTATTTTTAGCATTAAATTTAATAATTTTAATGTTCTAGTATAACACATTATGTAAAAATAAGTCAGTATGGACATTTTTAAAAAGAATTGCCCAGTCTGAGATTCATAGATAAGCAGAATACCTAAATTTATGGAGGTGACCATCGATTTGACTGCTGTACAAACATACATACTTACTGGTCAATTACTGCTTTACTAAAGTAAATATAACTTGAGCAATCCACATATACAACTTTCAACAAAGCTGCAGGGATATAAAAGAAATCCATTTTATTTATTCATTTAGCTGAAGCTTTTATCCAAAGTGACTTACAATTGCTATACATGTCGGAGGTCGGAGGTCGCACGCCTCTGGAGCAACTAGGGTTAAGTGTCTTACTCAGGGACACAGTGGATGGTCACAGTGGGGGATTGAAGTGCGCTATCACCACCCCCAAATCCATTGTTTATTAAGCATAAACAGAAATAAATTATTCCAGAAACAAACTATTGCCTCTTGTACAACTCAAAAAATACAGTAAAGTGTACTGTATCATAACTACTATTAATTCACCAATTAAAGTGAGGGCCAATATGAAGAAAATTGATATTATCAGACAATCAATTGAAAACAAGGAACACTGTCTTGCAAAGTACAATGAAAACAAAATAATCCTTTGAATTTTTTACAACTGGTTTTGAGTTTTAGGAACGCTGAACACTAGCTTATTGTGGCTAGTCTTGCCTTTTTACAGTACATCATCTGACACTATATGGTCCAGGATAGATTAATTTCAGATTATTATCAATCAGTAGTTCAGTAGGAGACTGTAAATGGCAAAAACATTTGGCTTTTGAATTCTTAAGAATACGTGAAGCGCCGCTTTGTCTAAGGGTCACAATTGTGTTGTACACAAAGTTTGACATCTTTCCATGACCCTTGAGCCAAGGCCTTTTCTCCATGTATACATTGCTCACAGTCCTTTTTTCCAGGCACTCTACATCGCAGTTCTCTCTACCTCACTCCATGCTCTCTTGCTCTCTCATGTTTGACTTTGTTCTTCTGTGGAAGCCTGGGGGTCTCATCTACAACAGGAACAGACAAACATCATTTCCTATTAGTCGATGAAACAAGTGCTTTAATTAAATGTGACAACCAAGAACTGACAGATGATTGCAACTCTCTTACCATGGGACAAAAAAGGTTAATTGTTAAAGGTCACAAAAACACATTTAATATTTACCATCATCAGTGTTGGGCAGTAACGCTTTACTGTAATAATATTACTTTTCCCTGTAACTAGTAGTGTAATTGTAAAGTGAAGTGTAGTTACTTTTCTAAAAAACTCGTTACTAAACGCACCATCCTTGACATGAATCCACGACTGTGCGGCAGCTCAGCGGTACCGTATGTAAAGACCATAGCATACTCGCTGTTGTGAATACGATATTAGTTAATAACTCGGGAGAGATGCTTTGTTTGGGGGCAAAGGCAGGGTGGTAGTGAAAGCAGTGTTTCCCATAATTAGCCTATAATTTGGTTAATTGTCAACGCTGACCACCACATTAATTTAAAAATTTTTTACTAGGCATATTTAAAATCATGTTTGACCGAGGAGCTGTATTGAGGAGCAAATATTCGTGCAGCACCTCCTGGCTCGCGCTCTCTTTCTCTCTCGTGAACACCGCTGCACAAACTTGTCCAAAGTCTGTGTTCGGTCCCGTTCATACAGTGTTTACTGGGAGGCTGCTGAGCGCGGTGTCGTTGCACGCTTGGCTCCTGTTCTGGTGCCCAAACCAGCGCCGCTTGCTGAGGCCTAAAACCTCCAGTGCCTGAGTAGAGGTGTAACGTTAAACACAAAACACTCCCAGGTGCTGCGAGCTCCCAGTCCGGGCTGAGTCAGCTACGACCACTAGGCTAACTGAGCTTATAAGATCACAGCAGCTACTTAATGGCACTTAGCAGTTACTTTAGCAACAAGTAACACATCTGTTCATCAGCAACCTCCGTAAATCACAGAGAGTTGAGACAGAGTAGCTGGGGGACACGGGGAACTTTAATGTTATTTTATGAGGCCCAACAGTTACTGTGTTGCCTTAGTAGACAGCAGAGGACGCAGACAGAACTAAATAGATTGTGATCTGTAGCACGACAGTAATGATCTCTCTGAAAAGATAGATCGTGGAGACATTTTAATCGTCCACAATCTAATATTGCCCACCCAGTAATAAGTAAAGTAATACTTTAAAGGAGTAATAACTAGTAATATATAATAATTTCTGAGTAACTTGCCCAACACTGACCATCATAAATTAGAAAAGAGTTACAAACAAACACTCAAACAAAAGTACACATACACTTACAGTAAGAGTAAAGTAGTACTCTACTTGTCTTTTGACTGAGTTAAAGTATGAAACAAAGGCAGGAGTTTTTGTATATTTCATAATTAAAGCAATTTAACTCACCATCAGTGAGTTCTCCTTATCTCTAACTCAGCGCAGGGGTCAGAACCTCCATCTGAAAAACAAGAGCATACAAAAAGTAACACCTCATACTATATAGTGTGGGTAAGGCTGCATCCTTCTGTATTTGTTAACTGTTAGAGAGTTGAAAAGTGTTTCAGGTTTTAAATGGACAGCATCCTTACTGCCAAAAACATATTATCCACTGGTCTTCCTCTCTTCACTGTGTGTGGGGTGGAGGTGAAAGTGAGACTTTCACCTGTGAAAAACAGCAACAGTCATTTATTATTACTCTGTGCTCTAATAAAAACCCAAGTTGCAGAGTACAAAGACTGCCGGTGAATAAAAGGAGTTTTAAAATGACTTGTCTTGACCTTCCAATGTTACTGGCCTGTATGGATCAGTTACACCATTTTCACTATACTAAAACTAGAGCAATTACACACCCAATACCTCCTTTGCGAGCATTTTCTTTCCTTTCTTCATTTTCTTTTTGTTAAACATATTTCACATACTTGTTAGTGTTGTTTAGATTTTTTTATATAACACTCGGCTAATTTTGTTAGGCCTTTTTTAAATAATGACTGCACATACAGTATAAACACCGTCCGTGGAAATTGTGGTACTGACAGAGGATTAATCAGATAATTGCACACTAATAATTATACGAGGACTGAATATCAACTGCTCTTCTAAAGGTGTAACTGTTTCTACAGTGTATATATTCGCGCAACATCTCTCGCTCACTCTCTCCGTCTCTCATGAACAGCGCTGCACAAATCTCTCCAACACAAAGCTGTCAATGTCAGAGACCCACCTTAGTTGGTATAGGGAATTAAACCTGAACGTGTCACTTACAATCGATGCCGTAGCGGTGAGAGTCGAGCTTTCAGTACAACGTAAACAAAGAAAGCAGCATGTAACCTTTCAGACCCACCGCACAGAAAGAGGCCCATTATTTCAGCGACTTGCGCCGCGCTAGGGCACTTTGTTGCTGTGTAGAGGATCGCGCACCGCACGCCATGCCGCAGTCGAAGTACTTTTGTGCTGAACCCAGCGCAAATCGCTTCTTTTCTGAAAGGTTCTTTATGGAAGAACATAGTCCTTTCAATACCTTCCGTCACTGAACATTTAACGTTACATCTGTGTTGAAAAAATGTTGCCAGGTGTAAAACACTACATAACATCAGGAGCTTTTAGACTTTCAGGACTGTAGGCTACCAATTACCTGCATTTCAGTTATTAATAACACTGCATGAATGATGTCTAGATGAGAGTTGATGACAACAATTCAGTTTATTTCCCTCTTATTAACAGTTTCCCCTGGGGAATAAATGAAGTTAATATTCCTCTTATAGTAATAATACTTACATATTATAGAAACACAATTGTTAATGTAATTTAATATTAAAAATCAACTTAAGTTATTACTAGTGAAAATTAATGCATAATCGTGAAACCGTGATTATTTCTCTGACAATAATCTGTAATCGTTGCATCCCTATTGATGATAGGGCTGGGAAATCTGTCACAATTTAGGGTGCTATGATTACATAACAATAATAATTCCCAATGTATCTTTGTGGGTATAAAATTTTTGTTCCATAGAATTACTTTATGAATGACCACATTCATAA